TCTTCTCTTCTCTTCTCTCTGTCTCCCTCCCTCCGTCCCTCCCTTCTTCCCTCTCCCCCCTCTCTCTCCTCTCCTTTCTCCCCTACGCCTTCTTTTTCTGACACCCCCCCCAACACGCGCACACACAATCCTTTCCCTTCCAAGAAGGGGTGATTGAAGGAGGAGGAAGGTGTCTAGTTGGCTTGGGGGGTGTGGGTGGGAGGAGAAGGGAGGTTATATAGGAAGACTTTTGGAGAGAAAGGGAATAGAGAGGGTAGAGGGAGAGTGATCCTCTACGTAAGTTGTTTAAAGTACTTTACTTCTTGGAGGAGGAAGGAGGAGGAGGAGGAGGAGGAGGAGGAGGAGGAGGAGAGAAGCAGTGGTGACTGGGATCTGATAGGCTCTGACTTTTCTTTTATTCATGAGGAGGAAAGGGGGCCCGGCGGAAGGGACCGAAGGGCCAATAGCGAAAAGAAATTTACAATGAATATATCTGTATTTTAAAATCCGCGGTTCGGCCTGATCAGCAGGAGAAACAGAACTGCTCATTAAAATTTGGGGCGAACGTGGCGGGGGTAGAGGAGAAAAAGCGGGGGCATTGAGGGGTCTGCAGAACATAGCCAAACTTTGTCCCAGTATCTTTGATGAATGGACTAGATCCACAGCGGATTCCCCCCACCCCACCCCAAAGAAGCGGCGGGACGGCGCTCACCACCAGCCCAAAGGAATGCTCATTTCTCCCCTCCTCTCCTTCTTGCTTTCTGGGTGTCTTGGTGCTGTCCCTCTGGCCCCTTCCCTACACTCCCCCTTTTCCCATTAAAGTAGAGGGAAAAGGCGTCCAGTTGTCTACCAATCTCATTCTCTCGCTCGATCGCCTTTCCTCCTTTTTCAGGGGCGTCGGCCGCTCAGGTCAAGAAATTAAGAGAATTAAAAAGGGAAGCGATTTGGGGAGGAATTTCTGTACTGTCTTCTGGACGGTGTCGCCACCTCATCTGCCAGGGCCTTCCCCGAGTCCCACAGTGCCACCTGATATAGCTTCCAGGAGGGGTAGGGAGTGGGGGCGTAATACTTGTATTTTGGGCCAGTTTTTGAATAGGCGAGTCTCTTTCTCTTTTGCCAGGAGCCCTCTTCGAACTTCTCCCCTTAATTCTTCCCCCTCCCCAATCCGCACACAGAAATCTCCAGTCCTACCTAAATCGAGCTGCCCAGCCCAAACCTTCTCTGCAGGCTCCTGCCATCATGCCCTCAGCAGGTGGGCGCATCTCTCCGGGCTGAGGTTACAGTCAGTCAGTGGCCACCGATCAGCGAGTCAGGCCTAGTGAATATCGGGGACCAGGAGTCGGGGACAAGGCTGGTGGTGAGGTGGCGAGGGACCTGGTCAAGGATGCGAAGGGTGAAGGTGGGACTGCCCAAAACTTTCCAGGACTAAGGGACTGAATCCTGATTTGAGGTGAGTGCAGAGATGGAGCCGTAGTAGGGAGGGAGGGGTCCTCGAACTCTTGGTCCAGGAGAGCAGAGTGACCGGAAGTCCTCTATTCAGGAAGAAATCTGGGGAGTGGAGACTGGGGGTGGGGGAAACGCCCTCCCAGCGGGACAGGACGCCAGGGCTGCTGGCCTTTTGTCCCCCCCCCCCCCCCCCGCTCCATCCAGCGGATCTAGGGCTCTACCCTGGAGGCAAGATACAATAAAATGAACCCAGCCTCCAAACTTTGTCCCCTTCTTCCATCTCCCCAGGCCGGAAGAAGGTCCTCCTTCAGCCTGGCTCCGCCAATACCTAGAGCTGATCAGGCCAAAGCTTTTGCATACTCTTCCTTCCTTTTTTCTCACCTGCAAACTCTTTTTGCAAACTCAGCATTTCATATCTGTACCGCTCCCTCCCCTCCCCTCCAAGCCCCGCTCCCAGCCCAGCAAAACTCTGCTCCTGAAACCTCCTCGGGGTCATCTGAAAGGCGCAGGGCGCCCAAGAGACCCAAACAAGGCAGGGAGGCAGCAAGCCTAAGCTGAATCCGTGGCCCTCGACCTCCCCATGCTTCGGATGACTCTGCTTTCCCGGCCAGCCAGCCCAAACTCCCCTAAACCTGCACTGAAAATTCCACTGAAAATGACCCAATCCAAGAAATGGATGTATGGGGGCGGGGAGGGACACCTAGAGGACCTCTGAGGTCCAACTCTGTGAAATTTTCGCCACTCCTCTCCCTAAACTAGGGAACTAAAGAGATACCGGGGAAGAGAATAAAATCTGTCTGTACCTCTGGTTCTAAGGGTATACCTGTTTGTACCTAAGGACAGAAGAAAAGCGAATACTGAGAGAGATTGGGGTACCCAGGGTTCCTTCGCCCTGTTGACGCACTCAGTCCTTTGCCCTATATTCACTGGCCCTTCCCCCAAGTAAGACTCTCGGGTGTGCTGGGCTTACTCCGGACAGTGGAGAGACAGGGAAAGTGAAATCTTAGCGCTGATCCGAGACACTGCACTCTCCCCCGCCCCTAGACGTCTTTGGCAAAATTCCCCCAGGCCCTGGGCCCAGCTGGAAGTCCCCAGCGGCTCCAGAGGGAGGCGCAATTCAGTCCAGAGTCGTAGCTTCTAGATCTGGAAGTGACCTTCGAGAGAGGTTATGGTCTTAGATCTAAGGAAATCTTAAGAGGCCACCTAGCCCAATCCCCTTAATTAACAGATGAGCTAATTGAGGCCCAAGGACTTTAAATGACTTGCCTAGGGTAATCCAGGGAGTAAGTGGCAAAGGGGTGTGTGCTGATTTCTTTCTCTCCCCTCTGGCCCCCTTCTCGGGGGCCAGATCTCATTCTGGAACATACAGCTGAACTTACATTCGGTGTACTTGTATGTGAGTTTGGGGGAGGGGAGGGCCACTCCCCCCCCCCCCCCCCCCCCCCACCAGGACAGTCGAAACACTCGGCGGTCTGGGCTCTGTGGACGCAGTCCGCTTAGCAGGGGCAGAGACCCAGTTGGGGGGTGGGGAGGAGAAGAGTAGAGCGAGGCAGCACCGGGAGCCGGAGGCTGGGGGTCTTTGGCTCAGCAGGAAACGTGTTTAAAGAATCGAATTTCCAAGCGGCCATTCTGGTTACTGCTTGAGAGTCGTCCTAGGGCGAAGAGGCTCCGTCCGACCCCATGGTGGGCCTGGACCAGAGTCGCTGTCCCTTGGTCGCAAAATCAAGTCTTCCCAAACAGCCAGGCTATTTTTCATCCTCTCCCAGTTGCACCTTCCTTCTTCTTTATCACCTCATATGAATTATAGGTTCAGAGCGTCGTAAACTTAGATTCGGAGGAACCTCAAGAGCCATACAGTTCAACAGCCTCATTTTTCAAAAGCTGAAACCGAGGCCCTAAACTATCCAAGGTCACACAAGTAGTAAGCTGCAGAGGGAGGAATTTCAGAGCTGGAAGTCACCCTGGAGGTAGCCAAGTCATACCCCCTTATTTTACAGGTGGGGGAAACAGAAGCTCAAAGTCGTGGCGTAGAGTAAGGTTTAGAACCCAGACCTTCCAAAGACATATTCAGCCAACAAGCATTTATTAAGTTCCTACTACGTGCCAGACGCTATTCCAGGCTCTTTCCAGCCCACTCCGCTGCATCTCCTGTGTCCAGAGTCCAAACACTCACACCACCCAAACAGCGTCCCCCACACTCCATCCTAATCAGAATGAAAAGGAAAAGCTTGGAACGGGATTCGGAATCACCATAGGACTCCTTAATCACCCGCAAGTGAATGGGACCACATTCTGATCCCTTCCTGCAGGGCCAACCTCTCAGGTCAAGGGATAGCTTGATAGATAGAGCTGGCTTCCTCCCCAGCCTCAAACAATTTGATTGGTTTCCTTTGGAAGGTGCAGAGCGGACTGTGGCAGGGGATTAGCTCTCTTCTCCTTTCCGTCCCACTCCCAATTCACCTTTTCTCCAACTCAGCCCAGGCTGTAGCAAGGCCACTCACTGGAGCCCTTCGTTTGGTGTTTGTTTGTTTGTTTGTTTGTTTGTTTGTTTGTTTGTTTGTTTTTGGAGAAGGGGTGGAGATTTCATAGGTCAGGATCTGGTCAGCTCTGCGGGACAGGAGGATGTGTGTGTGTGGTTGGAGGGGGCAGAGAAGTAGGAGGACAGAGGCTGGAGACTGGGGGGCGGGGAATTGTCGGGCGGAATGAGCGTGGCGGTTCACTCCTGTTGGAGGCCAATTTCACAAATAATATTTGCAACAATTAAGCAGTGTGCAGGATGAAATGGCGATTTCACATCTGGGCCGCGGGTGGGGGCGGGGCAGGTGGCGGGAGTGGGGTGGGGAGGGATTTACCTGTTAACTGAGAGAGGGAGGAGCTTTAGCCGGGGCTTCCCCCTAATCCTGCACTTCTCCCCCATTTTTCTCTGACTCTGTCAGCGTGTCTGTCGGTTAGTTTGACTGTCTGTCTCTCTTTCTGTGGTGTGTCTCGGTTTCTCTGGTCTCTCGTCTCTTTCTCATC